TTCCACCAGTGTTTACTTGTTTAAAAGTTGTTATAATAAAACTCATTCCAGCTTTGAGCTCCAGTTCAGATTTTCTTTAGCTGTAAGGTTAGAGCACTAACTGACTATGCATAGCCCTTGTATAAGTGTGGTCCTTGCAATTCTACTTTACACTTGACTGAATTATGAAACCCCACAGGGAACATTCGAGATTTCTTAGGCTGCATAAACTTATCAGGAGAGCACGCCAGCTGGGAATTTTGAGCGGATTTCCTTATCAACTGTCTTCTGTGGCCTGTCAGCAGAGATGTGGTTTTGGCTCATAAATCTCATTGTAATACCTGACATTGGAACAGCACTCACAAGCATGACATGGGAATGGCTTGATGTCTCCAAATCACAAGGAGAGATGATCACTGAATGACTGAAATGCAAGGCCAGCAAAAGGGAGCACGTGTTACTAGAGGAGATTTCACAAGTGGGATTAAATCTCAGTACATATAAGCAGGCTAGTTTCTAAGAGGGCTGAATTCAGCTTCAGTGTGAATATAGTAGATGAGCAGGCACGTGAGTATTGCTTCAACACCTGATGGGTTATAGAAGCTTGTTTTGGAGCAAATCACATGCTCCCTTCCTCCAATGACATATTCACTCTTGGTCTATCACTGAAATCATTGTGCAAAACTGGCTCAGGAAGTCTCTGCAGCTGGAAGTTCAGGAAGGAGGTCTGGACGCAAAGAGCAAAAAGTGAGTCTGCAGCATGGGTTTTGCTGACTGTGTGGGAGGGAGTGATCCTTTTGGATCCTGGAGTGGAAATGAATCAGCAGAGCCAACATGAGAGACTTTCCAGAGATCCAAACAACTCTTATTGTCCCCAAAGAGAGCTACTGGGTAATAAACATCAATAGATATTTGAGTAAAACCACTGCCTTAAGGGAACCTAGCACTGGGTATGGGTGCCATGTACCTTCCTGGACAGAGAGGCAGTGACACTGACTGGTTTTGCTTGCCACCCAGCTCTTCTTGCCAGATAATTTACCACCTGAAATTTCCGCTTGAGGATTTAGCAAAGCAAAATGTATCTTTAAATTATATAGAAGCAAAGTCTTGCACTTTTTGAGATTACTTTAAACCTTAGTCTTTGCAACAGGCTGCAGCAAGAGGGAGTAAAAGAACAAAAAGCCCTTGCTGTTAATATTTATGGCAACTAAAGCTAAATTGCATCACATTAGCAGATGAATGGGAGCCCCTGTTAAAAGCTGCAGCAGCCTAATTTTAGGATGGCACTGGTTTGGGGCTTCATTGTCTAGAATAACAAAGGAGAGCTTTCATGTTAATTAATTTGCAGGAATTATTAGTGTTAAAAATAAATAGTGCAGTCACCTTTCCAAATATAATTGGAGTGCGGTAAATGAAATTCAGTTGCGAGAAGATTTAGATTTTATGTTATTTCAGTTACAGATTATTTTTTTTTTAATAGTTCTTCTGTGCCAAATGCATTGCCCCTATGTGAAGTCCCAGGACTGAGTTCTGATAATATCTATGTACCAATGATGTAAATGTTGCTACAAAGCAATCCATTTAGGTACAAAATTTGTAATTTTTTTTTTTTTCAAATGCAGATTTCTTTTGGATAAATTATGTGTAATGACTGTTCATCACTCACCATGGCTTGATAGGAATCAATGGAGCAGTGTTCCTTTTAGGCTCCCTTCATTACACGATGTTTATGGGGAAAACTGATGATTTAAAATGAGTCTGGATTCACAAAATCCTGATTGTGCAAATATTTTCTACATTCAGATTTTACTGCTTAACCTAAAAGACACTTGAGAGCAAATAGACAGTTATGTTATGGTCTATACTGAAAACTCAGCTAGTTGAGCTCACACAGTTTTCTTTCATTCCTCTTTCTCCCTTACTGCTTAATGGGAGTTCAGGCAATGTTTGCAGTCATTGAGGTGCTTCTGGCATGCAGAGGTCTGTCATCTAACATCTTTCAAAAGACAGGAATCCTGTGGAACCACAAAGTGTCTTGGGGCTACATTTCTACCAGCAGGATCAGACTGTGAGCATAGGAAAGGGCTCCTGCAGATGACAGATTATTGCCGTAATTATTGTAAGGATTTATGACCTTGACAAAGCCTATATTTCCACCTGTCTGAGTCTTTCCAGTCCCAAGTGAAGATTTGTGTTCTCAGTTGTGTTTCCTTCTGTTCCTGCATCTCTACCCAAGGCTATAAAAGTCCCAAGAAATATGTTTGCTCCACTGCAGCAGCTCCCCAGAACTGGTGTGTACTTTCTCCATTAGGCTTCTGTCTGTGCTTTCTGACTCCAAAAGTGAGAATCCTCCCAAAGCCTTTCATGTCTGTGCATCCTTTTCTTTCTTGTAGACATGGCCATGGAGTCATCTTGCTACGCACCAGTGCTTCCCTTTGGCTGCTTATATGAATTCAGCCCCCTCTAATGGCAACATGGGGCTTACTGTATCTCCCAGCTCAGAAAGTCATCCCTTACATCAAATGACGGGAAATGTTCTTGCGTGCCAAAGAGTCTGGGTTCATTTGTCTGATGACTCAATCATCACATCAGCTGAGACAGAAAGATGGCTGGCAACAAGATTAGATTATGGTGATTCAAAGTGTCTCTCTTAGATAAGTGCCTACCATGAGTGTTCCAAAATGCACACAATCAAATTGTAAAGCTGGTGAACACAATCAGATTGTAAAACTGGTGACCACAGCATGCTTTGAAGACTGAGGGCATAAATAAGGATTAGACAAATTTAGAGAAGACAGGTCCATCTGTAGCTATTAAACTTAAGGGGTCAGGTGTAATTGCTACTGCTGGATTCTCCAAAATTCATGATTCCTGAAAAAAGGGATCAGGAAAAGGATCATACTGTGTATCTCTTATATCCATGCACAGCAAAGGACGGGTCCTTAGGTAAAACCCAGTATTTTCTCTCTGTGACTGATTCTTATGTGTAGCTGCTGAACAGCTCTGGAGGTGCAGTATGCTCAGCGTATGCACTGCTTTCTACTATCTTAACTCCTAACGCTTGCCAGTCCCTCATCATAATCCAGAGATAGCTGTTGGCCTAAATGAGACAGCTAGATGGCTTCCTTCATCAGCCTTGCCCACTCCTTGGCGCGCAAACCTCTATTACAAGGAAAGATAATTCCAAGACAAAGTTCCTCAGATCTCTTAAACATTTTGTCCTTCTAAGTTCTTTTTCTCTCTCACCCAAATATCTCTTTGAATTTCATCCCTCTGAATTAAAGCCTCTTTAAGTGACTTTTCCTAAGAAGGTGTGACTCTTTTGTGTGTCCACTGGCATCGATCTTTCTGGCCAACACAATGTGTGGAAGACCAGGGTAGGATGGATAATCATACTGTGACTCAGCTTCCACCCCTTATACAACAAGAGTAAAACTCACTGGCCTTTGTGAAGAGTTTTAGGCCTAGTGAAGAAAAGGAGCTGTTAAGTACCAAAGTGTTAATTATTATTATGGTCAGGCAGTAACAGCATGTTTAACTGGGAGATATGGAAACAGGTATGCCACTAATTGGTTTACAGTATATTTGGCTGAGGTCTGATGGTTATAATGCAGACAATCCATCATTATTGTAAGCAGCATGAAGTTTTGCTCAACTTCAATTACTCTAAGTCTCCCTTTGTGATCTTGTGCTAATATCCCAAGACGTGTCACCAGTGAGCATCTGAGTGAAATCTCTAGAAGAATGTGGAACAAATCTGTAAATCTCCTTCTGAAATGCCCTGCCAAAAAAATACAATAAAGTCTTCCACGTCAGGAAGGAAACATTAAAAACGTTAATTAAGAAGTAAACTCTTCTGAAAATCAAATGGGAATGAGTGAGAGCAGGCAAATTGGGACTGACTAGAATTCTGGTGGAAGAGCCTTTATTTCTCTCCAGTCTTTAAGAGCATCACCGCTTGCATTCATCCATAAAAGCTCAGGCCTGGTCCCATGGCTCAGCCTGTGGCGATTGCTCAGCAGCTCCCACACACTGGCACTTCAGGGTGTGGTTATCTGCTTTGGCCACCACATATGACAACACTGGAGAAGAGATCTAGTGATAGAGAGAGCACAGCTCTTGAGGGAGGAACTCCTGATCTTTCATGAGCAGCTAGAGCAGAAAGGTTTTCTCTACTCTAAACCACATGGGGGGAAGTCTTCTCTTCTCCTCTTGCTGTCATTTTATTTCCCAAAGCGTGTCCCTGTTCCCATCAGCACTTATGTGAGCACATCTTGGCTGTGCCCGGTGATTTATCCAAACATCAGCAGCTGCTTTAAGTGATGGCACAGTGAAGCAAAGGCAGAGGAGGGAATGGAGAGGTTGAAATATAACTTCCACCCACTCCTGTGCTGTGAAATCATGCACGGGGGCTATGCCCAGCAGCTCCAGTGCACTTACATCAGTCACTGAGAAAGGGAAAAAGAGACCATCTCAGAGCCTGCTCAGACATTTGGGACCGCTCCATTACGCAAATTAAAATATTTCCCCTAGAAGAACTATATGCACACATGTATGAACTGCTCCTTCGCTTTTCACATTTGCTTCCAGCTCCTGAGCATTGTTTAATACATTAGAAGGTTTTAGAGGTTTCAGCTGCTGGGAAGCGCGGGAGAGGAAGGGATCAGCTGTGTGCGAGTGCAAAAGTTGGAATAAGTCCTCTCGGAGCGAGTGTGTGTGAGAGGGGGGAGGCGGGAACCAATCGCTCCCGGCACACGCGGGGGTCCTGGCGGGGCTGCGGGAGGAGCGGTGCAGGAGGGGAGCGGGGAGAGAGCGAGCGGCGGCTTCCAGAGAACAGCCGGGAGAAGGCACAGCCGGGATTTGCTCCTCTCTCTCTCTGACTTCAATTCAGCTCCTCCCCCGTGTGGTTGTGGCTTTCCCTTCCATCAAAAGCCCGATCAGGAACGCCAGTTTAGGGGGGGTGGGGTGGGGAAAAAGAAAGAAATAAAAGGGGAAAAAAAAAAAAAAAGACAGAAAGAAAATAAAAGGAAAAAAGTGCAAAAGGAGGAAAAGAAAATAAGGAAGAAAAAAAAAAAAAGGAGAGAGAAAGCACTCTCCCTCTCCTCAGCTGCATCAAATACAGCAGCCTGAAACTTTATGGAGTTCTCGCAGTGTTTTCCCCGCGGTGGGTAGATCGGCAGCACCCCGCTCGCTCCTTCCTGCTCTTTCTCCCTCTCACTCATCAGCAGTCAGCAGCGATGGAAAAAGTTGCTGGCTGGTACCCAGCCTGGCACGTTGCTCTCCTGTACTGGACATGGCTTTTCCTCTTCACTTTTGGCTTTACCGGCGCTGAAATAACTTGCAGATCCTGCCATTCCCAGGTGAAGCCGCAGCAGCAGCATCCGCAGCAGGGATTACCGATGCATTTGAAGACCGACAGGGGAGAAAAAGAACAGTGGAGGATCCCGGGGGAGCAGGGAGGTGAGAGAGGGCAAGGGGCCGGGATGGATACGGAAGATGCCGAGCTTCAAGCACCCTTCGACCCTGCTGTGGCGGGGACCAAATTCAGCGGCTGGGAGACCCGCAGCTGGGCGAGCGAGCCGGAGAAAAAGCTCGGGGACGGCCGGCCCGAAGCAGCGGCAGCTCCTACCGGGGAGTACCTTCAGCGGGGTCACTGGGGCGGCCGGCGGAACTCGACCCGGCGGCGGCGGGGCCGCAGCCCGCGGGGCACGGCGGGGCCGGGCGGTGCCGCGGGGCGGGAGCCGGGGGGCTCCGGCGCCGCCCGCTTCGGGCTGGAGGAGCTGCGGCTGGGCAGCACCACCTTCGCCCTCACCGGCGACTCGGCGCACAACCAAGCCATGGTGCACTGGTCGGGCCAAAACAGCAGCGTGAGTACGGCCGCCGTGGGGGCTCGGCGGGGTGGGGGCGGCGGGTTTGCATTTTTCCTTTTTTTTTTTTTTTTTTTCTTTTTTTCCCTGTTTTCCCCTCCTCCTTTTTTCTTTCTTTCTTTCTTTTTTCTTTTTTTCTTTTTTCTTTTCCTTGGGGGTGGGGTGGGAGAGAAATGCAGGTTGTTTTTTTTTTTTTTTTTTTTTCCTTCTTCGAGTGGGGATTTCGTTCCCGGGAGCCGCGGATTGGCTTCGCTTAGCAGTGTGCAGTGGGGCAGAAGTGCCTCTAAAAGACCATTCTTCTGGAGCAAAAAAAAACTTTCCGCCGCCCGCCCGCTGAGCACAGCCCATTCCAACTCCTTCTCCATCACCCTGCAGGCAGAGAGGGGGAACGACCACCACCCGCGGCGGGGGAGGGGCGGGGAGGGGACGGTCCGAGAGGTCCCGTCCCCCACACTCTGGCTGCCCCAGGGTAACCCCGCCGGCAGCAGGGGATGCTGAGCTGTGAGCAAGGCCTGGGAAAGCTCCAGGGCTACTGCTGCTGCTCCTCCATTGCTGGGACCCACGTCAGCCCAGGGTTTAGCCCCATGGGATGTTGTCTCTGAGGTGCCTCTGTGCAGGGTACAAAGGTGCTTTCTTGCCTCTTGTCATGAAGGTGTTAAAATGAGACAGCTCTGGTCTCTTCCCCATAACCTGGACTTTTCTCATGAATAGCAACAGAATGGCTCTGACAGGAGCCAAGCAGAATGAAATCAGCCAGAGAGATAGGTGACAGGTTTCCAGTCTGGAGTAATAGTTGTGGCATCAAAGTTATCAAGTTAACTCGTATCCCTCCAGCCTGTGCTGCAAAGGTAGCCCTGAGCCAGGAGCCTGCTGGTAGCTCTGCTCTGGGGCTAACAGGAGTGAGGGTCTGAGTGCCCCAGTGAGCAGAATGCTAACAGGAGACAAAGGGATACCAGCGTGATTTGGTGTTTGCCCGTACAACTTCATGGGGGAAAGGGCAACTTGGGCTCCTCTGCTCTCAGCCAGATTTTTGTCTGCTTGGTACAAACCCTTGGCCTCCTTCTCAGCTTTTAGCATAAGGAACCTGGTGATGTTTTGAAATTAGGGTCAGATCATTATGAACTCCTTTGGTATGGATACTATTAAAATATATCCCAGGCACTCCATTTAGAATTAACATGAATGTTGTAAGCCCCATGCTGTGGGGTTCCGATCTAGTTAATTGAGACAAGGTATTATTGGCTCATCAGCATTTTTTTTCCTTTTTTAATTAGTTAATTGACAGGGGGATACCTGTCATCTCCATTTTGAAGGACCTTCCCTTTTCTTCCCAACTCAGCTAGCCTCTCTCACATAGTCGTGGTAACAGAAGTTGCTGGGGAGGAACTCCAGTCTTTTCATACTGATTGAATTGAGTCTGACACTGGTTTAAAGAGAGCTATTTGCTAAGAAAAAGCTTCTGATATAAAAAGTCACCCAGCAAGCATCAGTTTTCCTCTTCTTTTCACACAAAGATGTTTCATCTCTATATAGATCAATACATTAGTATTAAAAGTAGCAGTTTTTATTGTACTGTCTTAGACATATACATATGTATAGTTCTTTCTGCCCACTGTGGTAGTATGGACTGTTAATGCTTTGGTCTGATTTACCTGCTGAGTGTCTCTGTAAAACTGCTTGCAGGGAGCTGTGGGGAAATGTTTTGCTGCTGTCCTGCCCAAATTGCCCTGAGTGGTGTCGTGTTGGGGAGATCATGCTCCCACCTTGCTGCTGTGTACTCCGACAGTACTGTGCTATTCATGCTGTGGTAACATCCTTCACAACGCTAAATGAAGCTGGACTTCTCAGGAGCTGGATGCACCAGCAAGCTCATCCAGTCTCATTTGAAGCAGTGGTGTTGGTTCAGTAGGAGCTCAACACGGCACTGACCCAAAGGCTCTGCACAGAGCTTTTGGACACTCAGCTGTGAAGGAGCTGGGATTGGGAGGGGGTTAGGATGAAGTGATTCCCAGAGTGTGCAGTGTGTGTAACCTTGCCTGCACAGAGTGGCAGGGGATCCCATGGTGCTGTGTGCACGATGCTGTGTGACCCTGGTGCCCTGGCGTCACTCCAGCAGCAGTGGCTGCCAGATTTCTCCCTGTTTTCCCACTGTGCCAGGTGGATGCAACACACCTCCTCTCATTTTCATTCTGATATGCTCTGTGAGCGCTGCTGTTAAACAGCTTGTGCCTTTTGCCCAGGCAGAGGGAGGCTATGGAGATGATCATAGTTTGTAGCATCTGTGTAAGTAAAGGAAAAAAGCCAAAACAAAACCCTAAAAATCTGAGCTCCCTTTAGATGGGAAAGCTATAAAATAAAAGCACTGTCATCATTAAGGTTTGTTTTAATTGTAATGTACCTGATTCTGCCAACCTCTGTCTATTTCCCTGTATCCTTATTTTGGTAGTGGTCTGGATACTATTGAAATGCTTCTGATGGAGGGGAAGGGACCTCTGGGAGGACTCCTGGTAGCTGTAAGGAACAGTGTTTGCAGATTCTCTGTGTCTGGGCAATGATTTCACATTGTGTGTGTATATTGTTCTGTTCAGATGCTGGGTTGTGCTTAGCCACAGGCACAACAAGAGTAATAAGTAGTGGTATCAGTCATTCAGATATAAGTACAGCAACATAAACAGTCTTACAAGGGGGATCCTGTGGGGCCCATCAATGATTCTGGGTACTCCTCAGACAGCTTACCCTGCAGCACAGAATCCATATTACACTTGACAGCAGCAACAGGATCAGCTGTGCAGCCTTGTGGGGAAAGTATATGTCCACACAGCCATATCCACACAGACCTGTGGCAAGAACCCAGGTCACATCTACAGGGATGTGCTTTACATACACCCTGCTTCCTCCTGCTTATTGTGGCTTCCCCCCAGTAGTGTCAGTCCATGCTCTACAGAGAAGAGCACAGGCGTAGGGAAGCTGGATTGTCAGATGACTGATGAGGATGAAACCAGGAGTGTATCCAGTGTTGCGTGAAAATGCAGATGGTCCTGAGGCTCTCTCTGACTGCTGTGGAGGTGTGCGAGGCCACGCAGGCCATCTGGCATGGTCTGGCATCTACACAATCCAGAGCTCTTTCTGTCTGCAACACAGAGAGGAGTGGCTGCAGCTAAATTGGGTGCTGGAAATGGTCTCTGGCTTATACCAAGTCCCAGACTGTCTGGGAATGGTCCAAGAAGGTGTTAACTGGCCCATGTTAGCACCATTGCTTTGTTTCTTTGCATTGATATATGTGGAGTCTTTCTACTGTCCTCCATGAAAGTTAAAGTATTAGATCCTCTCAGCTAAATCTCTTCCTTAAACCCTGGCTACAAGACACACAAGTGAGATCTCCTGGCTATTTGCACCTCTGGGGAATTTCAACAACAGTGTGGAAATTGGCAGGTTTCCTAGCCTGCGGAAGTATCAGACATGCTTCCTGATGTGGTATATGCAAACACTGTAGATTTGAATTCCCCATAGCTCCCTCAATGCTATGCTACAGAGTAGGAGAAAACAGGCAGCAGAGATTTGTGCATAGAGATGAGATTTGATTTTAATGGAGAGAAGCAACTCTCAAGGAAATATCCAATATGAATATTTGGGATAGAGATGCTTACAGTTTTTGAGAAACCGAGGCTGCCTAGGTTTTTCAGTCTATTTATAAGACAACCCACTGTTGCCTTGCTCTGGGCAGAGTCTGATATCCTGGGCTGGACACTGGTGTAGATCTCAAACTGTTTGGCAAAGAATATGAACAGGTGCCCAGTTCATGGATTGACTTTTACATGGTCACCCAGCACTTACATCTTCTGTAGCCCGGGATATCTGGTCCAAACTTCTGTGATTTATGTTGCTGAAGGGATTTAGCTGAGCTTGTCTTGAGTCTTCCAAGCTGAAGATCCTCAGCAGAACGATGGAGATGAAATCTGGACCAGATGCAAAGTAACCTGGCCAGATAATTTTTTATATTTCATCCACAGTAGAAAATCAATATGACTGATGGATCCAGTGCAGTATGAAGCCTGCAAGGTCATCATCGCTGTTGTCGTGTGGTTACACTAGACAACAAGGGAAGAGATAAGACTCTTATAGGAGAGCTTTTAAACAAGCTGAGACTCTTCATTAGGTATTACTTGCATGTTTTTATTCGATGCTACTGATAACACAATCTGAACTCAGATAAGACAGAATAACAATATACCTATATATTTCAAATGCACTTTATTTCTTCCTATGCAAAATAATAGTGGATAATCTGTGGTTAGGTTTTCATTTGGAGCATTCAAACCTATTTTATACATTAAGAACTTAAGGAGAGGTTCGAGGCTGTAGCGGGTGCTATATGCTACCTGAAACTCATCAAAAAGCATCATAAAAAAAATGGACTTTCCTTCCTTCCTATTGCTCTCCTCTATTCAGGATAGTTGTTTCTTATGCTTTTTGGAAGCTTCTGTCTGATTTCTGATCTAATATTGCCATTGGGAAATTTATTTATCTATTTATCTATTTATTTATTGGTTTGTCTATATGCCTTTTAATTAAAGTTGTTTTCCCTACTTGGCACTTACACCTCCCTGGAATTATTTTACAGGCAGTGCTCGTATTCCCTTTCAACCTCTGGTTTGCTAAATCAAGCAAGCACTGCTCTTTCTGTATCTGCTTGTAAGACAGATTGTGGAAAATGAACTGTGAATTTCTAGGAGTTGGGTTCCCAAGAGCTTGAATTTGAATCAGGCGCTTGCTTTTGATGAACAGAATTCCATGTGGATGATAATGAATGTATTCACTTTTAACACTGAGACAGCAAAGGACAGTAGAGGCATGGCAAAAGTGTCTGAAATTGCCAGTGTTATTCTGCTTTGACCAGAGTGAAGAATCAATCAAAATGTCACTTCTCACTCTGTGATGCCTTTGCTCAGATGCTGCATTCATGCGACTGGCTGTAGTTAGTACTCTCTGTCCTTCCTTCT